TGGCTTGTGCGCTCTCCTACTATTAGTTTCATATACTTTGGTTATTATTGTTCTAATTGAAGTCACGATAGTAATCCAGCTTGGGTTGTAGGTGTTGGAATAGAGGTGATCAAACATATTTCCTATGACATCTAGGAAACTAGTGCTAGAATCACCTACTAGATCATAAGTTATCTCATCACTATTAGGGATCATTACATAGGATTTTTTTTCTAAGTTGACTATTATCCCTAACATGTTAGTAATTTGTGAGGCTATGATAGTGAACACATTAGTCTTTTGCCCACTAACTCCCTTCTTAGGGGTCACTCTCTCAGATATCCATTTCATTCATAGTTATTTCATCAATCAAAAAATTGGTTTCCTAAGATGACCCCTAGATGTAAAATATAGAATAAGTTTAAAGAATCCCAATAACCCATTGTAGAAGGTTTGAATAATCAACCAATAAGGTAAGACATGGTGCATACAGTCCTTAGTAGTTCTTTGAACCTCTCTCAAGCTTCATAATTTTTTCTCCATTTAATCGAGTGAAGTACATGAATGTCCTGAATTATTGGGTTAGGTTGCTCCAAGTAGTGATCAATCTTATTGTTAAGAAGTAAAACCTCATATTGGTTTTATTCATAAGTGAGAAAGGAAATAGCCTTAATATAATGACATCATCAAAGATAACAACAACTTGACAGTAACATATAGTTCTAATAAACTAGCCAAAAGGAGGTATGAGTTTTTTCTGGGTGTTCGCCTAAACTGGTTGATTCGAATCATTAGGATAAACACGGGTTTGAGTTCAAATGCAGGGGCTTTTATAGCAAGGTAATTAAGACTCGAGTGAATTCCCCTCGTTGAGGGGTTTACATACTCCCTAAGTGGTTTAAGATGGGTTTTCAAAGTGGGTGTCATTTCTAAGTATTAGAACATGTTTTTTTTAAAAATTTTTTTGTAAAACTAAAAATAAGAAAAATAAATCAGAAAGTAAAAAGAGAAAATGATAACAAAATTTCAAACTCGGACTTTAAGTAGTTCAACTAGAATTCTCTTAGCATAATAAATTATGGCTACTTCCCTCATAATGATGCCCAAAATTATTGTGGGTAAGTTGATTAATCACATAGGTAGATATGTTGATTAAATAATATACATATTATGAGTTTTCATGCGATCACATGAGGAAAGTTGTCAAAATAATTTAATAATGAAGTTTTAGTTTACTAAACCTTTGAATTTAATTTAAAGGTTCAATTTGCATATATGAAAGATTTTAAAATCCAAATGCAAAAAGAAGAAAACTGAACTAGATTTTATGAAATTTTTCAGGTTGAAAGATCCACACTCGTGTGACACTAGTCTAGTGATTTTTTTAATGTTTTCCTATGAAATTCATAATATTTTTTACAACCAGGGACATGTATTCCTTAACTTACATCTATTTAATAAGAAGAGTTGGAAAATATATTACGGTTAAGGGGACTTAACCAAACAGTGTTTCCTAGGCATCCTCAAGTCTCTTATAAAAGTTATAATTTTCTAATAGAAATATATCTATTTTACTAGACTACTATGTGTTAACATACTTATTTTTCTAAGTCCCGTTAAAAGTTCTAGATCACAAGGAATTTTAACATTCTATCAGGTCAGATTCAAAGTAAATTATGACTAGAAAAATAACATATCGACATATGAAATGTATGTATAATTTCTGTGATCATTGACCAAAGAAAAATATGTTGAAATTTTCATACATATTTTACCTATTTTTGATGATATTGCACTTTAAAGAAGGGTATTTTTGATGTTTTGTTGCGGGTATGACTAATTATGGTCATTGGAGGAAAAATATGCAAAAACTGTGCAATTTGGAGCAAAAACGAGCAATAAATGAAATTTTGCCCTGTCACCTTTCGATAAGTCTTTCGATGCTTAATCTCTTTTACACTTTTTGCATATTTTTGAATGAGATTATACTTTAAAGAAAGGTTGTTTTCATGCTTATTTTGCAGTGTTATCTGTTAAGAACACAACACAACTGAAATGGGGCGAAACGGAGCTAAAACGGAGCCAAACAGAGCGAAACGGTAAAGCTACGCAGTCTGCCCGCGGGCGCAAAACCGGCGCTGACGGTGAGATTTACCCGAGAAGACCGAAAAATGATAGAAAAGCTTGTCGACGGCGCCCTTGAGCCCGCCGACGGCGCCCAAGTTTTTACTTGCACTTTATTTACATTATAATAAATGTCTGTTGTAGTGTTAAAATTTGTTATAATTGCATTAAGACCCGAGAGGGTTGTGTAATTCTCAACAAAGTAGAACCACATTCAGATTCTATGGATGGTTAAGTTCATGGGAGTTGAATGCAAATAAATAGAGAAATATACTTCGATGGGCATAGAATTAGAAATTTTAGGGTGACATACTAAAATCCTCAATTCGGTCCTATTGTTGAGTACTGAAGCGGAGATGTTAGCCCTCAGGCGAGGGGAATGTGGGAGCTCCGAAGTGAGAGTCAGTATCCTCCCAGCCTATCCACGGATTCAGTAAACAAGCATAGGATTAGTCAATGTTCTTTATGCCTAAACCAAAGGGTAAAGAATAAGATTGCTCCTATTTGACACCTACAATATTTAATGCATCTCATTCCTTTACATTATCCAATTCATTACATAAGAATAATAGTTTTTAATATCTTAATACACAAAGTACACACGCACGTGCTCACACACACACACACACACAAACAATCAAGTAACAATGAGAACAAATTTATTCAATACCTTATTATAAGGTTGATTTTCATTTTCTTATTACGAAACCTTATCTAAAATTTTACTAGTTTATACATAGATTAATTTTATCAAAGCAAAAGGAAAAATCAATCATTCGGGATAACACGGATGTTGCATTTAAAATAAATTCTTCTTTAAAATTAGATTATTTTTTAATGAAAAAAGATAATCTAAAAGTTATTATGAAAAAATATTAAATCACTTATTTCAAATCTATCTATAATTATTATAGTTTACATATCAAATTCTATTTTAATTATTGAAATTATTTTCAATTTAAAGAAATGTTTTTTTTTTATAAACATACCATGTTATCCAATAATTAATAATTTAAAATTAAAATTTGCTTTAGTTGTAATTAGAATTCAATAAATTATGTAAATTTATATTTAAGGAATGACTTAATTTTGAATTTAATTAATATTAGTTAAAAATAATAAATTATTTGATAAGATAGGTATTAAACATAATTAATCTCTAAAAGTTCATTTGACTATTCATTTCAGGATTACATGATTTATATGATTGTGAAATTTTATATATCTATTTGACCAATATCAACCATAATTAAATGAATTAAAGCATAAGTAGCCTAAGATAATACATTTATGAATCATAAATTTAACCAAATATAATATTAAATAACTTATTATATTTATACCTAGTTTATTTGATTCAATATTAATAATATTAATAAATTTTCTTATTAATAAGAATTAGATAAATTAAATCATAATTTTAGCAAGGTAATATTCTAGTTAATAACTAATTAGTAAATTAACTTAATCAAAGTAATAGTTTTTATTTTGCAAAGTCAAATCAGGAATAACATCTATTTTATATATATATGGGAAGTAGTGTTATTCGGCTCCTTACGTGTTAATTATAAAATTTAGTACAAAATGAAGGGTAGGAGAGGATACCCCAAACTAAAAAAGAAAATAACTACAATACACACCCATAGTGGGGTTCCTCTACCACAGTACAACTCACCCCCAAAAAACATGAAAAGAGTATACCAATAGGCAATAAAAGAAAGTATACCCCAAAATAAACTATACCTCAGAGAGCAAAAAGCAAAAAACCCGAGACCAAAAATACCAGAAATACGTATGCATCGCAAAAGAGAGCGTCTGTCTATCTCACTGATCAGCACCGAGAGTCTGCAGCAATACGCATCTGGGACAACAAAACCAGCTCCCCAAAAGTTGAAACCTCCGAAAACCTTGAACCAAAACTGCAAATGAAAGGAAATGAAAGACCTTCCTGTCACAAGAAAACCAAACATCCAGAGCCAACGTATTCGGTGGCAAAGACAAAAACGGTAGAGGGAAGCTAAAGTCCTTGGGTATGAGGCTTTTAGTAGAAATATAACAACCCAAACAAACATGTCAACAGAAGAAAAAAATTTAAAGAGGCCAAAATCTGCTATGGTCAATACCGCAAAAAATAACCATATCACAAAAAACAGAGCAAGATGGTCAGCCCTTAAGCCCGAACAAACGGGCTATATATATATACATAACTAATATTTAATTAAACTGTTGAACTACTAAGCCTCTCTTACCCTAATTCTCATAGCTTTCCTCATGAGGAAAGCGTGACGAAGCTCGATATCGATGGACAACGGGAAGAGAAAAGTCTCATATTTAACCGAAATATGTGGAATCTCAAAAATATTTTTTTATGAGATTTAAGGTAAAATCGGTAGAAACGAGATTTTGAATTCAATATTTTTAGGGGGTATTTGGTCACAAATAGGATTAATTTAAGTATAATTTTAAAAATTCTTTCAATACCTATTTTGTGAATTTTGAGGTGTTTAAGAAAATGTTTAGAATGACAAATATTAAATATAGTGAAATTGTTTCATAACTTATTTTAGGATTTAAACAGTTGAAATATAAATTTAAAATTTATTTGAAATTATGTTTACCAATAATTAAATATTTATTAAACTAACTAATTATTAATTTTTTTTATTAAACTAATTATTATTAACTAATAATTTAACATTCATAAATTAATTATTGATTAGTTATATGGTAAACTAATTAATAATTATTTGGGAGATTGTTAAATTAATTAAAATTTAACATATAGTTTATATTTAATAATTAGTTATTATAATTAATTATTAGTTATAAATAAATTAAGTTAATAAAAGTTAACTTGAATAATATTAAATTAAAGGCAGAAACCAATCTTCCTCTCCCTCCCCTGCTCGAAACCCTCGCCCACTTGCCTACCCCAGTCCCGGCTTCGCTCAAAACCATATCCTTGGTGGCTAAAACCATCGCTATACAGTCGCAATTACTGGCTCAAGGCAACGACAGGATCGCGGCGTACAAAGACCTCCAAAACTCCCATCTTTCTCCTTCTGCTCTGCTCCTACTCGAAACCATTGACGAAGGCAACCCTCGTCTTTCTTCCCATTCGTGCGCCCACCTTCGTGCACTTCAGCTCCTCTGATTCCCATAAGTCCATCTTCCAAAGGTATTTATTAATTCTTGGATTTAATGCAAAACGGAGGGAAAAACGAGATTTAAGAATCTGTAGGATTTAAAGGTGTCATTTTTACTGCTTGGCAGGATTTAGGTTAAATACTGCTTAAATCCTGCTGCCAAACAGCCCCTAAGTTTGAGATTTTACTGGTTGCAATATTCAAGTTAATTTTTGCTAAATCCTGCTCAAACTCTGGTGCTTTACAGCTCTTACCTATAATAGTTTGAGGACTTTGGGATTTTAATTCTTAACTATGGATTAGGAAAATTTACATTCATAGTACAAAATTCTTATGTATTTACATATTTCACACCTAAACTTTCATATTTATATTCATAGTTCTTGAGAATTTTAGGTCAAAGAAAACCAAGAATCGACACAAATTCAGAAGAAAACACAAATATTTAACAAGGTTCGGTAAAGATGCCTACGCTCTCGGGAGCAGGTGGCAACTTTCCTTCAATTCAAAAAAAGAGTACAGATATATATATATAACCCTAAAGTACAATAGTTAATTACAAAGTTACGCTTGTATCGTACCGCAGGGGCGTTGCCCCCGCACCCTTAAACCACATAACGTAACTCCCCCGATTGGACAAATGCTTCCACTGCGTTCCGCTGTGCTATGCTCGCTCCGTTCTGCTCCAGCATCTGTCCCTTATCCGGTATATGAGCCATACTTAATGATAGTATTTAGGTTATGATTTCATTTTAGTGCTCTATGTGCAAATGTGAAAGTTTAGGTGTGACATATGTAAATACATAAGAATTGTGTGCTATGTATGTAAGTGCACCGGATTGGAGATGGATATATGTTTCGATGAAGTGAGTTCCCCCATAGAATGGGTTTAAGACTGTAAACCTAATTTATATCAAATAGATATTTTTTTTCCTGTTGAATAATGTGAAACTAACACCTATTTAATTAACATTTAAAATGCAATAAAACTTTTAACTTATGAATTGACAATTCTTCTTAGGATGAGTTTATGATGAAAAAAAAAAAACTTACATTATTTGAGTAAATATCTTCTGTTATGCCATATTGGCCAATACCGTCCATTTGATTAATGGTTTTATGAAGTAAGGTAGGTTGTTTTAGGGAACCAGTTTTTAGATATGAATTTTTTACTATTTTGAAATATTGGTTGGAGAAGTAAATTCAAATATGCATTTATTATTTAATTAATTGTAATATGGATTTATCCAAGTTTTGGGGAGTTCCTTTTCAAGTGATGTTTTGAGAAGCCTAAACTATATCATTAAGTGGTTAAAATAGGCAATATGGGTGAGGGTCTAGGTATTGTTATTAGTGCATTAAATTATTTATTTTGTACTTTATGTTGACCGTGGCTTTTCTATTTTACATTGTTTACTTGCTTATTCCAAGCCTTATGCATCAATGTGTAGACATGTTGCAAGCGTTCATCTATATTATTTTGATTCATTTCTTCTTTGATCGCTACATTGTTGATAAGATTAAAATACTATTAAACTACAAGATATATTATTCTCTCCAATTTGTATGATTATAGATGGCATATTTTTTGTGCTTCTCTTTTGAAAACGAGCCATGAGTGCGTTAATGTGAGTGGTCTTAAAGTCTAAGCTTTCCTAATGCCAATTATATGATATTGAAGAGAGGAGAAATGATTTGAATTTGTGTAAAGTTCATTTAGGGCTTTGAACCTCTATTCGTGCATTAGGATTCTAGGTCTGTCTTTGTAATTTGTACTTATGGAAACCATGAAAGTCATATGAAACAAAGTATAAGGATTAATCATGTTTATGTACTTGTAATTATGGAAATATGGAAGTTATTCCATTACTTACAAACATTTATTTCTTTGAAACTTGAGAGACATTTTTGCCACCTGCAAAGGCTCATGGATTGCCACCTTGTCCATAATGATGGAACACTGATTTTGTAATGGATTGCCAACTTTGTAATACCACGTATTACCAAGCTAGACTTTAGAAGCACTAATAGTTTCAAACTATTGAGTAGATATTTTTTGTGCCTGACATCTAAAATATAGTGCTCGATAGTCCTTTGGTTAGTATGTTGGCCAACTTCTCGTGTTTGGTGTAAGGAAAACAATGTGGGCAATATTATGGCGGTGTTTCTAACATAGCACCACATTACTCTTCTTGACTTATAGTATTAGAGGAGACTTCATTTAGATTGAAAAGGGAGACTTTTTGAAGTATTTGGATGTGTGCTTGATCATGTTCAATGTTTAGTTCAACTTGAAATTCATAAACTCTTTCTCCTTCTCCAAAAGTTTGTATCATTGAAGCATCTTCACTGTATTTCATTTTGATACACTGTTAGTAATCAAGTTTGAGATGTATTTTTCATTTGTTATAATATTTTCTAACCAAATGAGTAACTTGTTTAATGAATTTTTGTCTTAATTTCATGTACTAAGGCTATATAATGCACCTTGTAATTTGTTTGTTTCATCATGTCTCAAATATCTTTGGTTGTGGTTCGAAACATTTATGTTCTATTGATCCTAGCATCATCAAATTATGTAGCCAGGACATATCTAAGGGAATCTTTTGTATCTCATGTGGCAAAATTAAGATTATCTTCGCATAGTATAGGTCTAATAGGGTGGACCAACTTTTCTTTTACTCCGAGGAAGATTTTTCACAAGTAAATACCGAATAAGGTACTTTCTTCCTTTTAGTTTGATTGTAGATTTAAGGATTTAATACCCATTGACTTTAGGGGTGATTAGAATTATATGATTGATCAATAACTTTTGATATAGAAGACATTTTCTAAAGGAAAAAAGAAAGAACTTGGATTTTCTTTCTTGAAGTTGTAGGATTGCGGCCTTCTGTTTTCGGTGGGATAAAATGTGGCTCAAGGATGCAGATAAAGGGTGGTGTAAACAAGAAGGCGGGCGTAAGTGCAAATCGTAGAAAAACCTTGGGGCTACAAATTATAGGTGGAAGAAGGTAATGCTCAGGGTTCTTCTGTTTTTATAGCTCTAATACCATAGAGATATAAGAAATGATATGAATTTTCGTGTCTTCCATTGAGGGCCTTGTACCATTATATATACAACATGATTTTTAGATTATGCTTGATACTTTCTATATACGAAAATCCTTAATTGCATAGAAATCACATGAAAAATGTCATTGGACAAAATATATAAGGATTAATCATGTTTCTATATTTGTAGCTATTGAAATAAGGAAGATATTTGAAATTTGAGAGAATTTTTGCCCCCTGTAAAGGCTTGCACTCAAGATTTGACACCTTGTTTAATGAGTGATAATTATAATAATCATGTTGTTGAACCATGAAAGTCGCATGACTGACATCCAATATTTCAACTGGTGTTGATATAAGCAGATGCAGAGCACCAAAACTATACTGAATCATTACAGAAAATCAAATCAAACCAGAAGGGAAAATGGTATTAAACATTGAATACTACTCATTTTATTGTTATCTTTGTATTTTTACAGAAAAAAATTTGATAGATTAATTGATGACTTGTGATCTATGATTCCTCAATTTTTTTACATGAGATAATGTTGCACATTTTTTTTGGTGTATTAATGAGCTCTAACTTTAGTTGTCCAGTATTACTTCATTCTTACTAGTGGCTTCTTTATATTGACAGATGGTTGTTAGTCTAGAAAATATGGAGACTGAAAAGTTTAATGTTGGCGGAAAACAGGTATGTCATATGTCCGCTATTGATATTAGTTTCATGGCATTGCATTGACAAAATTTATTGCTACAATGCTTTATTCTGTTGTTGTGCTATCTGCATTAGATGTATTTATTGGTATTATGATTTTGTTGTACAATTGGTTTCTTATTTTATTATTATTTTTATTTTCCTTTGTTGATCAAACTAAGTTAAAAATTTCAATTTTTTGTCATATCTATGAGAGTATCTTTGTGTATTAGTCATCTTTGGAATCCAAATTTGCCTTTGGGTAATTATCTAAGAGTTGGAATTGAACAAACTTGTTTCTTTTTGTTTTCCTAATAGTTTGACAGCTAATTAAATTTATAGGAAAATTTTGAGGAATTAGATCCAAATGCAAAAAAGTATCTACGTGGAGATGGTGCTAACCTGGAGGTATACTTCCCTATTTTTTGAATTTGTTTGAGCAACATATATTGAGATTCCAAACCTATGTACTAAATTTTAGTGGTTTTTTTTTGATATCTTATCAACCTTTTTCATTATATTTAGGTCTTACGGGATAAAAAGCTGAAAGGGCAGCTCACTGTTAAAGAAAAGTTATATGGCCAATCTGCAAAAGCTGCTGCTATTGCTGAAAAGGTTTCTTTGTTTCTCTTATTTACATAAGATCATAATGAGCATATTTAAATGCTGTGGCTGTTTTTACTGGTTAACTAAATCCTTTCCATTTGCAAAGAAACGCCTCTCTATTTTCAGTGATGATTTTAGTACAACATTTCATGCATTATTTTTATTGAGTTGAAGTTTATTATCAATAGTTCTGGAAAGAAATTAGTGTGTTTTTTCAGTGTTTAGGAGTTTATCCGCAAAATAGCTGGATATTGCAAAAGGAATTTCTTACAGGCAAAATGCAAAAAAAGCAAAGAAGTGCCAAACTGTTATTGATTAAATCGCTAGTCCCATTTGTCTTAATTATTAAGCATTTAGACATGCTGTTTTTACTGGTTAACTAAATCCTTTCCATTTGCAAAGAAACGCCTCTTTTCAGTGATGATTGTAGTACAACATTTCATGCATTATTTTTATCGAGTTGAAGTTTATTATAAATAGTTCTGGAAAGAAATTAGTGTACTTTTTCTGTATTTAGGAGTTTATCCGCAAAATAGATGGATATTGCAAAAGGAATTTCTTACAGGCAAAATGCAACAATGAAGGTCAAACTGTTATTGATTAAATCTCTGGTCCCATTTGTCTTAATTATTAAGCATTTAGATTTGTTGTAATTATCTGTCTTATTGTTTCTATATAGTGTTTCTTAATCTAGTTTACAAGGTACCAGAACTGATTAAGTATCTTGGTCAGCAAAAGGAGGGTGCTTTATTATTTGGAATTACATGATCAATTGTGCTAGATGTTGATTATGAACTTTAACGTTGTGCTGATGATGATGGGCTTTGTGAGCTACATATGAACTTTAAGGTGCTTCCAGACTTCCAGTTACCTGGGTAGATAGAAACGTGCTAAAATCTCTGTTTTCACTTTTCATTATGATGGAGTTAATGGTCCATTTTTTGTCTTGTTGGTTTTGGATTTCACTTGCTTTATTTAGTTTCTACTATTACACCACATGAATATCCATCGACCGTGTTATTTATGATACATGCAATTTATTTACGGCAAATTTACATACACACCATACATTTCTTATGTATTTACATATCTAACACATAAAGTTTGATATTTGTATTTATAATACTTTGGTATTATAAATCTATGCATGAAAATGTGTATTTCACTTTTAAAAAGTTAATCATATCTGAAACTTCATTGAGAAGTTTATCAAAATAACTCACCCACCTATATTAAATTTCCTTATCTAAGAAAAATACTTTTTGATTTTCATCTTTAATACACTTAACTTGAATTGAATCTTTACCTTTAAATGATTAAAAAAATATAAAACAAATAATCTAACTCTTTCAACATTGAATAACATATACTTTTCTCAAAGGAAAAAAGATGACAGAAACAAGGCCATAGTGAAATGGAATGTAAATTTCTTATGAATCCAACACATCTTAGGTGTTGATGTAGAAATTTTAAGGGAAAAAAAATATTAGAGAACTAGAACCAAGAAGTAAGGGAATGAAAATACCTAAATAGGTCAACATATTTTAGCGTATGAGCTGTTTTTCAGTGAGAAGGAAGATTGGGTAGAAATCAACTCTATGCAATAATACGAGAAACAGATAGTTGCTAGAGGGATGCAGCCAACAACATTCAATAAAGAAACTGGAAAGGCACCGGTGGCTTTGTAAGGCCGTCAATGTCAAGTGGAGAAAATTTCCCTACGATTTTTAGTAGGCTTTCAAAAAGAATTATAAGGGCAAATTTGAATTTGTTTTCATTATTTGATGTTATCACATTTCTTATTAATTTCATAGAAATCAAACAATTCAGGTGAAACATTTAGGTAAAACATTTTTACATTCTTCCTAATTACATAGAAAAATACAGAGACTAATCAAATGAACAGTAAAAAATAGAAGTTTGTTAGATATTTTAATCCCAGATTGTAATTGAACAATTTTTTGAATTTTAATAACTTCTCAGTGAAGCTATATGAGAAAATTGTCTGATTGTGATATGAATGAAGTTTAAGTGTTATTCTTGTGAAGAATGATACTGCAGTTTAGGCTGACAATGCTCTTAGAGATTCAATGATGAATGGAGTCTACTGATTAGTTTTAATGGAACATTTTAAGTCAACAAAACACAAATTTTTCAGTAATTCAGTTTATCATTTTTCTTTATAGTACTTTTCTTCTTTAAAAGTTTGTCATTTTTTTTATTCCTATAAATGGTAGTAAAGCTTTTATTGATAATAATCATCTTAAGCATTTTATAGTGGCTTTTGCCTACCGAGCATGGCTATTTGGAGGCCGAAGGTCTAGAAAAGACATGGAGGATCAAGCAGGAAACTATTCTTCAAGAAGTTGATATTATAAGTTCAAGGAAACCATTTGACATGGTTTTGCCAGGTAGAAAATAAGAATTTTTTGGCTTATCTCTTCATTTTTCTCATAAATTTTTAAAGTGCAACTGTCCTGCAACTGCTTAAGTAGTACTCTTTCATGAACTTTACCTGGCTCTTCTGGGATTTCTCTTTCATGATTTTCAAGAATTGACTTCTCCTCTTCATTTTTTTTCTTTGTTGCTTTTTGATTCTATGCAGCAAATTTCATTTCTTTTGAAATGATCTTGCAGATTTAGGTCCGTACACGTTGGAATATACATTGAATGGACGATATATGCTTGTTGGAGGACGAAAGGGTCATTTGGCTTTGATAGATATGATTACCATGGATCTCATCAAAGAATTTCAGGTATGATCATTTATCTCTCAATTTTTTCTGGCATCTCTTTCATTGATGTCTTAATAATCATGCCATGATCACACATTGATGTTTAGCATTTGATGTGGATCGTATCTTTAGAAGTTTGTAGAACTTGTTAGTAAAAATTTATCAATCTAAAGTTTTGTTGGTTCTTATTTATCCATCCTAAGTTTAGTAACACTTTCCTTGGTCTATTTATTTATTATTAACTTTGTTAATCATTTCATACTTTATACTCGGCTGTGGGCTTTGGAAGTTGTTTCTAAGTAGTGGGCATCAACTAGTCTGATTAGCTAGGGCCTTGGAAGTTGCTGACATGGTCTGAGGTTTGATTCACACCTATGTAATATCAAACTTCCATCTTCAGACTTTCAAGCGGGCCAAAAAAAAAGGTCATTTACTTACGTACCACCCAATTCCTATGTATTTAGATATCTAACACCTAAACTTTATTTTTTACATTTATACCAACCTAATCTTTCATATCACATAAAAAACTATAACTATTTTAACTTTTAAAAAGTGAAATACACATTTTCATGCATAAGTAAGGTAGCATATATATGTAAAAATTGAAGTTTAGGTGATATGTAAATACAAAGAAACTAAGTGTTATGCATTTAAATTTTCCAAAAAAAGGCTTATGGGTTGTGGGCTCACGAACTAATAAGAACTATAAAAGCAAGGTAGCATATGGAGGATTACATTTTGACAATGCAGTGCACATGGTGCGCCTCATCTATATTCTTCTTGGTCATCTCCCTTCTCATGGAATTGGTATTAAAAGTTTAATTATTTTCATGACCCCAACCCATGCTTTCACTGTAGGAAATAACTTTTTCTTATATGCTTGTGCCCTTTGATGGCCTTAATTTTTTTGTCCTGCATAATATTGAATCCATTTTGTTAGCATAGGTATTCTGGTGGATGGATTAATTTAATCATCTGTTTTTCAAGTTGTTGAGGGATGCATGGTGACTAACATTTTGTCCAACAGGTCAGGGAAACAGTGCGTGATGTGGTCTTCCTGCACAATGAACAATTTTTCGCTGTAGCTCAGAAGAGGTATCACATTGATATCTATGAGGTTACTTTTTTGTTTATTTTCTTCTTTCTTAATCCATTACAAACTAAGGGTCTGTTTGGGTTAGCTGTTGATTATTTATAATTTGCTGATAAGCAGATTATTTTGATAATCTGATAATATGCAAATTATCAGAATAAACTGGTTTGCTGTTTGAGGCAGCTTATTCAGAACAACTTACTGGGAGCTGTTGTTGAATAAATGACCATCCTGCTCCTGTTCGGTTAAACAGTTTGCAACAGAACTGTTTATGGAAAATAATAGATAAAACAGATGTCTCAAAATATTACAGTTCAATTACAAAAATTAAAATATATTGCTCATCACTTCGTGAGTATCAAAACAAATAAAATAAAAAGAAATACAATTACAATTACAAGTAAAAATATTAAAACGTTCAATTTAAAACTCTGGTACTCAACCTGCAGCAATTATAACTGCAGAATATCGAATGCAACCCGACAAACAAATAAACTTCAACATCTCTGTTTAGCTAAACCATAAACTGAAATTTCTTCAGTAATCAAGCTGTGCTTTATAAGTTTGTTCAATAATCAAGTCTAATAAAAACATAACTTAAAAAATCTGCCTTTCAGATGATTGAAGCAAATAAACCCCAACACCTCTTCCAGATGATTGAAGAAAACACAAGCCTACAACAAGAGAAATGAAAATGCCTCCATATATGAGCTCTTTTATAGCTGTTTTTCAACCTTAAAATGATAAAGGAACATAGCTGACAAATATAAACCCCAACAACACTTTTGTATAACTGTTTTTCTCGAATCAGTTAAAGGAACATCTCTGGCTTTTATGCAATTCAAAAACTAGTGCTATTTTATGCAACAATGCCAAACTAACATTACCAAATTTCATCGCATTCTAACAATGCCAAACTTAAAACAGACAAAATGAGGATGACAATAACTACTACATCCCATAGAAAGGATGTCAACCGTCATTACATACCTAACATCTGAATACATCTGAAATTTTTTTTTTAACCATTATACCAAACAAATCTTTCATATGACAACACAGACAACGATCACAGGGAGCCTGCGAAATTTTAGATGAAGGATCCCAGTAATACAAAGGATCAAAAATTTCATACGAACGATCACTGGGAGCTTGCCTAACTACATCCCATAAATCATTTGATCTCAGTAAACAACAATAACTACAATAATATGAAGAATATACATGAAGAAATCCCTATAACACAAAGGATCAAAAAATTCTGCCCAGTAATAGTATTGCCCAACGCATTCCAGTAATAGCATTTCCCAACTCACCATAATTCATACCATCCCAGACAACGACACAAATAGCATTTCTCTACAGGGAAGAGGAGTGAAAATTTCAAACAACTTTTCAAACAACTTTCGATCCACCAACCTAATGCCAGACGGGAAATGGGAGAGCAGAGGGGTGCACGAGATCGAAGAGTCCGATCACAGACGGGATCGAGGAGCAGAGACGAGATTAGGGGAGTCTGATCACTGATCTGGGGCAACGATGGGATTGAAGGGCAGTCGAGTAATAATCTATCCCTAAATGCGGAACGCAGGATAATAGGAGCGGCGAACGATTCGGTGGATAAAGGATAAACCCTTACGCGCGTATTTTTACCGCCGACCCGAACGTGTTTTTCAAACGCCACCCCGGCGTTCCGAAAACGCCGAATGCAGGTATAACCCGCGCCAAACGGACCCTAAATATTAAATTGTTATGAGTTGCAATTCTATAATGAGAGAATAGTTGTCATTGTGACTTATGATTGATGTAGGTCTATAATTTTGTTCATTTGAACTGTTACGAGCATGTTTATAGGAGAAGCATCAAAGAAAGTATTTAATTAAGTCATGTCCACATTGGGAGCATGAATTTCTAAGTTATAGTAGGAAAAAGCTTTTTGTTTACCCGACACTGCTGCCCTAGCTATCGTAGCTCAATTTATGTGTTTTTATTTTTATTTTTGGTTTGATAAGTAGCTTTATCTTTGTTTTAATAATTTCATATATATATATTTTTTAATCCGGACTGAAGCTGTGTCTATAAGGCATGTAGGTATATTAATTTATCCTCATGTTAAAGTTTTTGTTGGATTATTTTGGCTAATATAATTTGCTTAACCCAAATTCTAGCATAATTTTTTGTCTGGCAGACTAGTTGGTTATGTACATAGAACATTGTAATTGCTTCTTTTGGATGCTGATTATAAGTACTTTTGTGATATGTATTATTTGCTTTGACGGTTGTGCTACAGAATTGTTTCTTTTAAAAAATAAGATGAACTTAGATTTAAATTTAGCATTTTTTTATTTTAGTTTTTTACTTCTCTATTTTTATTGTTTACTTCAAACTCATCGAATTAATTCCTTACTGATCTCTTCTGTGCTTTGCTACTTTCTTGCTATATTGTTCTTAATTTAAGTTGGAAAAAAGAAAGAAAGCATTTGGTCAATGGATGTGGTAGCTGTAATTATTCCATTCCATTTCATAAATATTTTTTTTTCCATCCTTCTTTAATGTATATTGGCATTTGCTTGTGGACTTTTGGTAATTGGAAGGGGAAAGGAGTGGTGGGAGAAACTGGGATAGATGTTGGGAGTGAGGGAGGGCTACTTAGGAATTATTAATTTGATTCAAGATTTGATGCTTTCTTATTATTTGGAGGACGGATTATAGTAATTATAACATGGCTTGATGTTGTATAAAAATACAAGTATAAATCAGAGTTTAACACCTCATATAGCATTGAACTTGACTTTATAAAGCGACCCTAGTTACTTTTATTGAAGATAATGATGATAACTTTAATGGTATTAAATATTGTTGAATTATGATTATATTTTACTTTTTAAAGTTAAAGTATCTTAAATTGTCAAAATTGATAAATCAGTTTGCTTTTAAATGCTAGCTTATGTTATATTTATGAACTATATGTGTATCATTTAAAATTTTTAAGTTCAAGCATTTTTTTATTATTTATTTTTCTTTCATAAAAATAGAAGCTGCCCACAAATATATATTTCTATCTTTATATGAACTTAATTTGTGTTTTAGTATATTCCTAACATTTATATTTTTGAAGGCTACCTTCATACTTGCTTGTAAAATCAAACAAGTTCTATAAGAATTCATCAAGTATGAAGATGCAAGTTTATATGTTTATGTATAAATATATTTGTCCATATTCTATTTAGAAATATTTACTTATTTCAAGTTATGTAATGTGTGTTTATCTTATAAGATATCCTAATTTGTTTAAATGGTGGGCCTTAGGTCTATCTCGGGTTTGACTACAGAGACCAGCTTGATTTTGCTTGCCTAAGGAGCAGGTCTAGTCAGTACTTTGTGCATGTTAAGTTTATCAATTCTACTTTTTATTGTTTTTTTAGATAAACACAATCTTTATAAGTGAAGCCGAACCATTCATGAATGGAATAAATCATAACCTTATTGAAGGGGCCTTCAACCATGCAAACTCACTCTCAACCATAGGTTAGTTTGTTGTGATGCAAATATTTTTTTGTGGTTAAATCTCAATTCCAGGGATAAGGAAAGTGAATGACAGTCAATTGCTATTTTAAGAACTTGTAAGGTTGGGAGCTTGGAAGTAATCAAAATTTCATTTGCATATATATAAAGAAAGTGAATGGCAGTCAATTGCTATTTTAAGAACTTGTAAGGTTGGGAGCTTGGAAGTAATCGAAATTTCATTTGCATGTAATAAAAATTAATGATAGCATAAAATTTATGGGAACATAGTTTGGAATTTACCCTTATCCATAAAACAAATGAAAAGTATGAAAAAATTGGAATGAAGTTTAAATTTGAAATTATTACAAACTAAACAAACATGATAAAGTCATTATTAGAACTCAGTTCAACATAGGTCATTATTGGAATATAATTCTCACCACTTTTTAACACTAATTCGAGCCGTCTCTTAATGCTAAACAAGATCGTGGTAGCATAAAAAATTGATTTTCAAAAGTGGCAAATTTTGATAAAACTACTAGACATAATGCAGCATGACCTTCATAGTTATGGTGCTTGTTTAATTGTTCATTGATAGCAACCTCATCCTTTAAAGTCCTGTGGATTTCATGATCATATATGTAAGCGTTGGTAGAAGTTCTAGCTCTAGGGCTCTTGGCAGGGGAATAAACTTGACATTCTATAGAAAGCCTAAGATCTTGAAGGGTCCCTTAGTAAGCTAAAATGTTTTTATCATTTAAAATTGGTCTAATACGCAAACATCCTACAGCTTGAGTGAGTGGGCATTTTTCTTTTGTTTTTTGAATGTGTTAAGCTGAGGCTGATTTAATGGAGATCTGTCAAAAAATCTATTGTTGTAAATAGAGTTGAACTTAATCTCAGGAACTAAATCTTAAAATTTTAAATGAGAAACTTTTTTAACCATCAGTAATCTAATTTTGTTTCTGCAATGACATCAAATACATACATATGGTCAACAAAAGATTCAGCTGATCAATGACAAGTGAACATGAGTAGAAAATGAATAATTTATTAGGTCTGGTGAGAGGGTATGCCATGGACAGCCTCAATTGAGTTTTTTATGGTCTTACGATCAGAGCCATTGTAGTAAAACTTGGATGTTTGAGGTATTTAGGACACCGTTTTAAATTAGTTTTTTCATCATTTTGTTGTATATAGGTTTGAGTAATTTAATGTCATTAAAAAATTCTTAAACCTGACATTGTGGTTATATACAATGAAAATGGGTAATTAATGATGCAAATAATCTTCTGATACTTGAATTAAACCTAGGTTGAATTGGGAACAAAGACATAAATCAGGAAGTATCTTACCATAGTTATGGATGCATAACCAAGGGCCTCAATATGCAACCATCCTTTATAACAAAGTCAACATAGTATATGTTATTCTTACTTTGGTAGTACTTGTGGTTGACATTAAAATCAGGAATTGTACAACAACAACAACAACA